TGGTGTGTTTGTAAACAGCAAGGCTAAGAAAAACCCAGGTACATTGGATAGGGGTTTTGTGTTGGAAGAGCAGATGAGTTACCTCGTCTGGTAATTTGAAAGGGACTGGTCCCCTTTTCTTTTCTCATCAGCGTTTGGGCTACAGGCCACCACGAATGTGCATCTCAATATCCTTGGGCATCAGGCGAGTGTATGCCATCGCAGCAAGGGCAAGAGCAGCAGAGAGACAGGAAAGGCTGCTACCCTTGCCTGAACAATAGATCATTAGGCAACTGGGGTACCATGCTTAATTCTCTAGGAGTGGTAGTCTCCTACCTTTCCACAAAGGGGTGTCCATATGCCCATCCCAGTGGTGCACAATAATAATGGTATGTACGGGTACCCCGAGCAGCCAGGGATGGTCACCTAGCTATATGCAGTAACCAGAGAGCTCTAACCAGACCCCTGGCAGGTGGGGCTCAGTGCTGACCAGTGGGGTAGGTTGTTGTCACTACCTTTACAGACGGAAGCCTCAGAGACCACCTGCCAAACAGATTGAACCCAATGGCAAGTCACACAGGGGTAGAGCCAATTAACAATTCTTTTAAGGACAACAGCCTTTTGGGGTGGGAAGAGATAGTGACACTCAAAAAAGAATGCAGTGCAGTGCAGGCCAAAGTGCAAGCCTGCCAGCAACTGGTGGTTCTGTCCCAAGAGGCCTTTGCCAAATCACGGATCCAGTTAGCTAAGAGTAATTAACTAACGATGACTAGGTGACCTTGGTCTTGGATGGACCATCCTGTTCATGATGCCAATTGTATTAACTGCCTCCATTCACTCTGTTGGTAGGATTCCTGCCCTGGGGTTATGGAATGGCTGAACACAAGACACCTGGCACTGGACAGATGAGATCTACATAAGTTTATCAGTCATACACACTGAGAGGCCAGGCGAGGAAGACACCACATGCCATGCAAGGCCACAGAGGTATCACATGAGGGAACAACTAGGGGTTGCGGGAAGTGGCTCTGTAGTATCAAGAGGGTACAGTGACCCCTGGTTCCTGTGAGAGGATGTGAATAGCTTGTTTGAGTAATTCTTCCGGCTCATAGGGCAGTGGAACTTGCTACTCAGGGATAAGCAACACCGCCACCTATGCCTGGTCCCCTTGATAAAGAAGGAGGCAATATTGTCTGACTACAGGACCTTATCTGTGGGAGGAGAATGGGGAGGGAAACTTGCAGTTAGGCCATTAGAGGCCCTCTCGGCTTCAGACGTCAAGAGAGTCTATTACACGGGTCTTAATTTCAGGCCACAGTTACTATAATTTAAAGTATTTTGAAGACTGTAAAAACAATTCAAATGTTCACTAGTGGTGATTGTAGTTGCAGCGCAAAAACATATGACTAACAAAAACTTCAGTACAGAAACAATATATAAAAAGAGATAAGGAATTTAAGATAATTCCAAAAAAGATAATAAGGCTTAGAAAAGCAGAAAGCTATAACTGAAAATATGCTTTAGCAGTTGTCAATATGATTTCTGAGAATGCATTTACCCCCAACGTGGGAAAATTGGTACTGAACGATGTGAGTTTTTAATTTTATAAATATATAAGAAAACATCTCCACAGACTTGTCTATATTGCTATATGCAGGCAGGGTTATTTAACACACTTTATTTTTTAGAGTAGTTTCAGGGTTACAGAATAATTGAGCAAAAAGTACAGAGAGTTCTATGCACCCCCTTCACCTCTACCTGCCTCCATAATTTCCGTTATGGTTAACATCTTGCATTAACGTGGTATACTTGTTACAACTGATGAGCCAATAGCGATAAATTATTATTAACTCAAGTCCATAGTTTACATTTGGGTTTACCCTTTGTGTTTTACATTTTGTGGGTTTTGACAAATGAATAATGACACATATTCACCATTACAGTATCCTACAGAACAGTTTCATTGCCCTAAAAATCCTGTAATCCACCTATTAATTCCTCCCTCCCTCCCTCGCTCTGAACCCCTGGCAACCACTGATCTTTTTACTGTCTCCACAGTTTCGCCTTTATCAGAATGCATTACACTTGGAATCATAGGGTATAAAGCATTTTCAGAGTGGCTTCTTTCTTTTAGCAATATCTTTTGTTATTTGATAGCTCATTTCTTTTTATCACCCGCCCAACCATCGTATCCTGTAACCCTGCTATAATTGCTTACTAATGTCAGGAGGGCTTTTTTTGTTGATTCTTTGGAATTTTCTACACAGACAATATGTTATCTGTGAACACAGAGTTCTCTCTCTTCCTCCCAAATCTGTATAACTTTTATTTCCTTTACTTGTCTTACTGCATTAGCTAGGACTTCCAGAAGGATGCTGAAAAGAAGTGGTGAAAGAGGATCTCCTTATCTTACTAGTTTCTCACCATTAAGTATGATGCTAGCTGTAGGTTTTCTGTAGATGTTCTTTACCAAGTTAATGAAGTTTCTAGTTTGCAGAAACTTTTTTTTATCATGAATCGGTGTTAAGATATTCTGAAATGCTTTCCGGCATTTATTGATATGATCATGATATTTCTTCTCTAGCCTGCTGATGTGATAGGTTACATTAACTGGTTATCAGATGTTGAACCATACTTGGAATAAGTACCACCTGGTCACAGCGTATAATTCTTTTTATACATTGTTGGATTCAATTTACTAATATTTTGTTGAGGATTTCTACATCTATGTTCCTGAGAGATATTGGTCTGTAGTTTTCCTTTCTTGTAATGTCTTTGCCCCTTTTTGCTACTATGGTAATGATGGCTTCATAGAATGAGTTAGAAGTATTCTCTCTGCTTTTACTTTCTGGAAGAGATTGTAGAGGATTGGTATCATTTCTTCCTTAAATGTTTGGTAGAATTCACCAGTGAACACATCTGGCCTAGTGCTTTCTGATTTGGAAGATTAAGTATTGATTCAATTTCTTTGATATATGTCTATTCAGATTTATCCTTCTGCAGGTTTTGGCAGATTGTGTATTTCAGGGAATTGGTTCATTTCATCTAGGTTACCAAATTTGTGGGTAGAGAGTTGTCCATAATATTCCTTTATAATCCTTTTGATGTCCATGAGATCAGTAGTGGTGGCTCTCTTCCATTTCTGATACTAGCAGTTTCTGCCCCCTCTTTTTCTTAGTTAACCTGGCTAGAAGTTTACTGATTTTATTGACCTTTTCAAAGAACCAGCTTTTGGTTTTATTGATTTTCTCCATTTGTTTCCCGTTTTCAATTTCATTGATTTTCACCCCAATTCTTACTATTCTTTTTGTTTTGCTTACTTTGGATTTAATTTGCTCCTCTTTTTCTAGTTTTCTAAGATAGAAGCTTACACTACTTGTGTAAACTAAGATTATTAGATTGTGTAATCTTAGATTATGTGTAACCTAATTATTTATGTAATCTGATCATGTGATTTAGTATACCACCTTTACACTGCCAATAAAAGCCCCACTCTAGCTCTACTCTGGTCCTGCTCCAGCCTCAATCCTCCTTCTCATATAGTCAAAAGTAATTAAGGACCCAGATGCCCCTCTGCGTATGTCGGACCCCTGAATTTACAGCCCAGTTTACAGCCCTGGGCGTCATCTAGTCTGTCTGAGGCTTCTTTCCTGGACCCTGCCTTGGAGGGCAGTAGCTTTCAGAGGGTTTGGAAAAAATTTAGGCTGAAGGCTAGAGTATTCACATACATACACTCAAGGCAACTCATGGTTTGGGATGAACCATGGGTGAAAAGAGAAAGGGGGCAATGGGACTAAGGCCTAGATATTCCCATGCACAGAATACATTTTATTTAACATTTTGTTCTTTTGATTTATAAGTTTTAAATGGTTAGATGTTAGTTTTGTGGACATCCTTTTAAACTATTGCTCCAGGCCCTTCAGACATGAGAGATGTGTATGACATTGTAACAACTGCTCAACTAGGAGTATTTATTTTCTATTCACAATTATAATAAGTTCCATTACGCATATGAAACACATACAGTTTATATAACATACCATTTGTACATAAATAAGTCCTGTGAACTTAAGGGATATTTCATTTACACATTCAATGCTACGGCCCTGATTATTCAATTTATCTCTGCTTTTAAAAAGCTTCATATTCAAATGATTGCCAGGATTAGGGTGGCAGAAAGGGTGTGATTATTAACACAAGGAATGTCTTGTGTTGAAACCCTGATTCCTTTGTAACCTTCATGCAATATAGATTCCAGATTCCTTTTTGATTTTGTTACCTGATTATGTTGATGATTACTCTAATCTACAAATGATAAAATTTCACAGAAATACACACATAAACAGAGTGCATGTAAAAACTGGTGAAATCTGAATAAGGTCTGTATCTGACTTAGTAGTAAGGTATCATCAATTTCTTGTATTTGAGAACACATTATGCTTATGTATCATATAATTATTAGGGGAAGCTTGGTGAAGAGCATATGAGAATTCTATGTACTATTATTATTATTGTAATCTGAGTCTAATTTTGCATTTTACTATTTTTTCTTTTAGTTTTTAAAGCTTTACATTGCACAATACACATCTATAAATTACACTTTGTTACGTTTCCTAAAAGTAACTATGGCATCAAAACCAAAACACAACTTGTAATGTTACATTACTTCTAAAGAAAATCTTCAAGCTACATGTCTCAAATTGACAGATTTCTTCTCAGTATAAACTGTGACATAACCTAGCTTGTATTTTTTGCTAGAAACTTTTACAAAATCAAAAAATCTGTAAGGTTTTATACTAGTATTAGCTACGTGACACCCAATGAAATGTTACTTCTTAACAAGACTTCCTATATTTGTTGTAGTTCATGGATTTGTCCCGTTATCATTAGTTTGGAGTAATATAAGGCCAGTTTGTGGATGAAGGTTACTGAACGTTCAAGTGTCAATAGAGCTTTCTCCAGTGTGAATTCTCTAAAGTGTAGTGGGTGCTGAACTGTGGCTCAATATTTCTAATATTCACTTCAATCATAAGATTTCTCTCCTGGGTGCGTCCTCTGATGTACAATGAGGTTTGACTTCTGAGAGAAGGTTTTTCCACACGTGTTACATTCATAGGGCTTCTCCCCTGTGTGTGATCTCTGATGTTTAGCAAGGTCTGATTTACGGTAAAAAATTTTCCCACATTCATTACATTGACAAGATTTCTCTCCTGTGTGAGCCCTGTGATGCACTGTGAGGGATGATTTGTGACTGAAGGATTTCCCACATTCATTACATTCATAGGGTTTTTCCCCTGTGTGTTTTCTCTGATGTAAAATAAGTCCCGACTTCACGCAGAAAGATTTTCCACATTCATTACATTTGTAGGGCTTTTCTTCTGTATGAGTTCTCTGGTGTACAATTAGAGCTGACTTATGGCAGAACGCCTTTCCACATTCATTACATTCATAGGGTTTCTCCCCTATGTGAATTCTCTGGTGCTGAGTGAGTTGTGACTTCTGGCAGAAGGTTTTCCCACATTCATTGCATTCATAGGGTTTCTCCCCTGTATGTGTTCTATTATGTTTAGTTAGGTATGATTTATTATAGAAGATTTTCCCACATTCATGACATTCATAGGGTTTCTCCCCTGTATGTGTTCTATAATGTTGAGAGAGGGTTGACTTATGGCTGAAGAATTTTCCGCATTCAGGACATGCAAAGGGTTTCTCCCCTGTGTGAGTTCTCTGATGTACTGTGAGATCAGACTTCAAGCAGAAAGTTTTCCCACACTCGTAACATTCATAAGGTTTCAACCCTGTATGAATTATCTGATGCCTGGTGAGTACTGACTTGTGGTAGAAAGTTTTCCCACATGCATTACACTCATAGGGTTTATCCCCTATGTGAGTTCTCTGATGTTGTGTAAGATGCGACTTCTGACAGAAAGATTTCCCACACTCAGGACATTCAAAGGGTTTCTCACCTGTATGAGTTCTCTGATGTACTGTAAGGTGTGAATTCATACAGAAGGATTTCCCACATTCATAACATTCATAGGGTTTCAGTCCTGTGTGTGTTCTCTGATGTTTAGTGAGGTCTGACTTCTGGTAAAAAGTTTTCCCACATGCATTACATTGATAGGGTTTCTCACCTGTATGTGTTCTCTGGTGTAATGTGAGGGCTGACTTGTGGCTGAAGGCTTTCCCACACTCACTGCATTCAAAGGGTTTTTCCCCTGTGTGTGATCTCTGATGTTTAGTGAGGTTTGACTTCTCCCAGAAAGTTTTTCCACATTCATTACATTGAAAGCGCTTCTCTCCTGTATGTATCCTCTGATGTCGAGTGAGGTGTGACTTTTCCCAAAAAGCTTTCCCACATTCATTACATTCAAAGTGTTTCTCTCCTTTATGAGTTTTATGAAGTTGTGAGAGGTATAACTTCCCCCTGAAATTATTCCCACTTTCATTACATTCATAGTGTTTCATATGTGCTCCATGATGTTTCAAAAGGGTAGACCTCACACACAAAGATTTCCCACAATCACTAAATCCATAGTGATCTTCCTTTGAGGGGGTTATCTCATGGAACAAGAAGGATGAGTTATCATAGAAAGTTCTCTTGTATTCATTATATCCACAGTCAGTCCCTTCTGTGATCTCTCTCTTGTGTGTATTGTATACTGTCTTTCCAAGGAAGGTTTCATGATGTATGTTATACTCAAAATTTTGCTCTAAGGTTTGTATCTTCTCATGCTGAACAGGGTCCTCATTATGACTGAAAGTCTTCCAATTTTTTAAAAATTCACTTTTCTCTCTGGGATGAGTTTTCTCATGTTTAATATTGAGCAGCAATTTTCCACAGGCATTACATTCATCTGTCTTCTTTCCTAAATAGTTTTTCTTATTGATAACCAATTCTGAAATACAGTTGAAACTCATCCCACACGAGTCACACTGACATAGTATTTTTCTGGAAGGAAAAGAATTTGTGTCCAAGTTAAATGGTTTTCCTACTACATTACCTTGTTCTTTAGACAGCAATTTGTTGTTGATGAATACAACTTCCCACACATGTTTAGGCTGGTTTTCTTGGCTCATTTCTTTCATGTGATCAGTTTTCCAGACTTCTAAAAATAAGAAAAATTAATCTTACCATATAAATATTAACACATTTCTTATGGAATGTGACCTATATACAAATGTCCTATGTTGTAGCTGACTTTGATTTCTTGTCTAGTCTCCAAGGATGAAAATAACTGCAAATGTATATTTTTTTCTATTTCTAGGGTTTGAGGTAAAAAGAAAAAGAAAAACAAGAAACAAAAAGCCTGGCACAGTGGAAAAGGGAGAGGAAATTGGCTATTTGGACACATACATTTGGTTTCCATGTCTAAAGAATAATAGCAACTATTTAAATCTGAATCTCTCTGCTCATCCTTGAAAAAACTATGAGGAGTAATATAAGGAAAGCAAATAAAATTACCTACAACAACCCATGACTTTAGCATAAGTAGGAGATGCAGAATACTACTAACTTCAAATCACCACTAAATAAGGAAATAAGTATTCAAATATAAAAGAAAGTGATACAGAACCCACATCTATAGAAAGAGTCAGCTGGAGACTGTAGCAAACACATGTAAAAGAAGAGACAGAGAACTTACAGATATTTAAACACAAATAAAATTACTCCCAGGAAGGGAAAGTCCCATGCTGAGTGGGAAAATACTGTGATGATGTCTCAGTTCTGACAGATGAGAGCTCAAACTACCAGGAAATCCAAAAGAAGGGATTTGTAGCATATGGGAAATAAGAAGGCAAGGGCTGATCAAAGTGAAGAGTAAAATTGTAAAAAGAACAAAGCGCTCTTAGAATAGGATTTAAATTACAAACAGCCTGTGAAGGACTGAATTGTGTCCCCTCCCAAATTCATATGTTGAAACCCTAATCCCCAGTGTGACTGTATTTGGAGACAGGGCCTTTAAGGAGGTAATTAACCGGTGGAGTGCTAATCTAATAGGAATGGTATCGTTATTAGAAGAGGAAGAGACACCAGAGCTTCCTTGCTTTCCAAGTGTGCACAGAGAAAGGGCCATGTGAGGACACAGCAAGCAGGTGCTGTCTACAAACTGAGGAGAGAGACCTCACCAGAAACCTAAGAATAAAGGCATGATCCCACTCAAGAAAATTGTACACTGATACTATATCATCCATCATACAGTCCATTCAAGAAGAGCAGTATCTTTGAAAATATCTATGTGCGTTTCAACCATACAAATCCCTTCCCTTCACTGCAAAATCCTCCAACATTAGAAGTATAGCTATAATGAAACTGGATTTAATCAAAATTATTTTCTTTAAAAATTTTCCACATGTTCTAAAATTTATGCATATATTATACTATAAGAATATTTCTCTGACTTGCTTTTTTCACTCTAAGTTTCCAAAATTCATCCACACCATTGCACATAGATATATATAAAAGACCACTAAGAGAAGATACTGTAATGTACATACCGATTCCTATATTTGATGGACAGTCTGGTTGATTCTGGTTTTCTGTTATTATGAACAATACAGAGACAGGTGAACTCTATACATCCCCAGTGAATAATTGGAAAAGTGTCCCTAAAGCAGTGGTACTCAAAAGTGGGGTTCATATATCACGGCCAATAAACATAATGTATTTAACAGGTATATGACGAGATAAATAGAGAAACTGAGAGCAACTATTTGGAAACTTCCATGGCAATTTCAAAATAGCTTCAGTGAGGTATAGTTGATGAATCAACTGAATATATTTAAACCATATAATTTGATAAGTTTTGACATTATGATTTATATGAATGGATTTACTTCTGGGCTCTGTATTCTGAGCCACTGATCTACGTGTCTGTCTTGATGTTAACACCACACTGTCTTGTTTAGTGTAACTTTATAATAGGTCTTCAAATTAGTGTTACCCCTACAACTTAACTTTTATATTTCCAAGTTGTTTTAATTACTCCAGCTCGTTTGCACTTTAATGTAAAGCTTAGAATGAGCTAGTCAATTGCTATAAGAAAGCCTACTGGGAATTAGATTGGGATTATTGTGAATTTATAGATCCAACTTTTAAGGAGTAAAACGTTAACAATATTGAGCATTCTGATACATGAACACGGTTCTCTCTCTCCGTTTATTTAAGTCTTCAGTTTCTCTCCACAATGGTTTACAGTTTTCAGTGAGGTCTTTCATATCTTTTGCCAGAAATATCTGCAAAAAATATTTTTCATGCTATTGCAAATATTGCTTTTTAAAATTTTAATTTCCAATTTATCATTGGAAACTATATAGAAATAAAATTGATTTTTGTATATTGATTTTTGTCCTCCAACCTACACTTACTTAACAGCTCTAGTCATTTGTCCGGCGATTCTACTGGATTTTGCACATTTTAAATTTTGTTTATGAATAAAGACAGTTCTACTTCTTCTTTTCCACTCTGATCTCCTTTTCTGCCTTTTTCTTTCCTGATTACACTAGCTAGATTATATTACATTACTGAGTGTGAGTGGAATCCTTGTCTTGTTCCTGATATTGGAAAGAAACTATTCAGTTTTTTACCATTAAGCATGACATTAATTGCAGGTTTTCTATAGATGCCCTTTATCAGGTTAAGAAAGGCCCTTTCTATTCTTCATTTGAGAGTTTTAATCAGGAATGGATGCTGGATTTTGTCAAATGCTTTCTCTGCATCTACTGAAATGATCACATAGGTTTTTCTTTTGTTTTGAAATACAGGTCAGGGGTGAATGCGTAATTGATGGGGGCCAGTGAAAAACGAAAATGTGGGGCCATTTACTCAAAAATCACACCCAAAAGTATAGCTAAAGGTAATAAAATTATGCTTTCCCTTAAAAAAGAATACATATAAAACTTAGGTATAAAAGTGATAGATGAGTAACAGCATGAACTTACAAATGCAAGACAATATTTCTGGTACAAAAATTTCATATAATAATTACTAATACTTTATTAATATAATCTCTTGATTGCTCATACGATTTGATTGATCATAAGATTTTTCTGGCATTTCCTTCTGCAAATACACAAGTCATCAAAATTCATACTTTTAGAAACTTCATTTTCAATAGATGTAATTGAAAGTAACATTAATTATTCTTGGCAAATGCAAGATAAATAATTTTTTCTGTTAATTTTGAGAAGGCACTTTTGCAGATGGTACAACTGCTACTGGAGATGTTAAAAGTTGTTCATAGGTTGTGACAACATGAGCTAAATTTCTGATACATTATTTCACAGCATAAATTTTAGTATACCTAGAGATGCTTCTTGAGGAACATTTTTCTAAAACTAACTTTTCATAAAATAGTTTTGTGTAAATCTTAATTTCAAATGTAAATTTATACAATGGCATTTTAATGTTTCCTCTGCCATTTCCTGTAACTTGTACAAGAGGCCAAAAACGGCTTCATGATTTGTATATAATCATGAATATATATGATAATATATCATTTGTATATAATCATGTATATAATTCAAAATGCCTATTTATGCAGCTATTGCTATATCTTCAAATACAAGGAAAACTTAATTTCAAAATTGACTTCCTTGGTTCCTTCGTTCACCCAGAATTACATATGAAAATAATGTTCTCTTCCATCAAGTTTAATTTCTTTTTCTAAGCCTGTGAACACCTGCTTGGCAATGCTGTAGCAGTTTTCAAGACCAGAAAGGCTACACTCTGAAGAATTCTAGCAACTGCCTGGTAGGCCTTAACACAATGTCAATGAGTATACTTTTATTATGTAATACTTTACTGACTATGATTACTGCCTGAGTACTGGAGGTTACTGTCCCAGTACGCAGACCAGAAAGTTAATATTTTGTGCAGGTGCCAAAAGGACAGGCTAAAAGGAGAGACAAGCAAGCCAGCCTCCCACTGTTGTTTCTCTTTTGGGGCTGCAACCACCATGCTTCTGACACTGGTTTTGCTGCTGCTGCAAACCATACAGACATGAGTCTCACCTATTCAGGACTACAGGACACCCGATTGTGCCAAGCAGCCACATGAAAAACTTAGTGAGCACACTGCCACTCAATGTATCCTGTTGGGCTCACACACATATTCCATGGTCTCATCAGACTTTACTTTTCTTATATTAATCACAAGTTCAAAGGCAAAATTGTTAGGAATTTCAAGATGGCAACAGTAGAGAGTTAAACCAAGTCCAGGGCTCCTTCAGAGAACACGGTACTGTGTGACTACACAGGTTGCATCTCCAAGAAATTGGCCCTGAAACAGAGAATTACACTGATTGCTTTCCAAATGTTGAGAAAGCCCTCTCTGGGATTAACTCCACTTGGTCATGATATATTAGCCTTTTTTTTTAAGTTTATTTTTTAATTGAGCTAACACTGGTTTATAACATTATATAAATTTCCATTGTACACCATTTTATTTTGATTTCTGTGTAGACTACATCATGTTCACCACCCAAAGATTAAAACCATCCATCACTGTACACATGTGCCCTTTTACACCTTTCCCCTTTCCCTCTGCCCCTCTGGTAACCACCAATCTAATCTCTATGCCAATGTGGTTTATTTGTTGTTGTTTTTATCTTCCACATGAATGAACTCATATGGTATTTGGCTTTCTCTGACTTATTTTGCTTAGCATAATATTCTCAAGGGCCATCCAGGTTGTCACAAATGGCAAGATTTCATCTTTTTATGGCGGAGCAGTATTCCATTGCATATACGTACACCACATCTTCTTTATCCATTCATCCATTGATGGGCACTTAGGTTATTTCCAAGTCTTCGCTATCGTGAATAACGCTGCAATGAAACACGGGAGCAAATTTCTTTTCGAATTAGCGTTTTTGTGTTCTTTGGATAAATACACAGAAGTGGAATAACTGGAACACATGGTAGTTCTATTCTTAATTTTTTGAGCAATCTCAAGTGTTTATATATTGTTGGTTTTTAACCACTAAAATTTTGTTTAGAGTTTTTACATCCATATTCATGATGGACACTGGTCTGTAGCTTTCTTTTCTTATAATGTCTTTGTCTAGTTTTGGTATTAGGGCAATGCTGGCCTCACAGAATGAATTAG